TGTGTGTGTGTGTGTGTACACCATCAAATCGTATCTGACAGGTACAGGAGGAGATTGTCCCTCCTTCTCCAGCAAAGCATCTGGTGGATTCAAACCGAGTGCCTCTGGGATTACAGTGCAGCTTCTTGCCACTAGGCCACCAGACCTCCCCCATCCTCTTACAGTGAGAAAGTTGTGATCAGTTTTTCCACCCACCGCAGTGCTCCCTGGAGCTCTCACATCCCCAAACTACAGAGCAGCTTCTCACTAGAGAGCAATGACCCATTGGCTTCTGGTGACCTGCTCTTTGTGGCTGCCCTCCTCTCCTCTGTTTCTTCACTCCTTTCTTTCTGCACACAGCCTCCATCGAAGCACTCACACACACCTCCACATGAAGGGCGTGCAGCTGGCACTGTGTCCTAGTCTCCAGTGCCCACATAGCAGCCCTCAGCTCTCCGGGTGCGTTTCTGCCAGTCTCTGGAGTGCAGAGTGGGCAGAGCCTTGCGTACTTGCGTCTGCCATACCTTGTCCATCTTTCCCAGCCGATGTGGTCAAGTTCAGAACCTCTGCTCCACTCTCTCTATTGATGTGGGACACTTGGCCCTTTGCACCGGGCCTTCCACTCTGCTTCTCTGTGCAGCCTCAGACGGCACTGTCCCTACCCCGCTGTGGCCCTCTGTGTTCCAGCCACCTACCCGTGTATGCTGAGGTGCAGAAGCCCTACGTGTACCTCAAGAGCAGCCACTTAGAAGTCACCAACCTCTACGTGGGTGTGCCCACGCACGTGGCCATCACCCTCATCAACGGTACACTCCTGCCCTCCCAGTTCCAGTGGGACAAGGTGAGTGAGCCCATACCCCCCCGGGGGCGGGCTGTAGTCTTCATGAAAAAAGACCCCGCAACAATGAGTGAATATTAAAACCCCCCCAAAAAATAAAAGTGAGCTAGGGGAGGGGGAGGGAGGAAACTGTGCGACAATGAAAGAATGAAAATCCAATTTTTCTGTAAACTTCCGTTAAAATAACAATTTAAAAATTTTTAAAATACAAAAAAAAAGAACCATGAGGAAAGATGTTTTCTCACCCCAGCCTGTGCCTCATTCCATAGTGCCCCGTTTAACATTGGCTTCTCAAAGGAGAAAAACATTTGGTTCAGCTTTTCCTTACCCTCCTACCTTGAGACATTTCCTGGTCCCTGCCCGAGGAGTCTCTGGTGAACCCAGCTAGACCGGCACAGAGAGTGTAGTCGTGACTCCTGCTGGGAGCCCAGTGCAGGCACTGCCCTTCACACTGACCGTGAGGCTTGGTCTGGGCGTCGTGGGAGACAGAGCCTCCCTATGTGCACACAGACAGCTGCCCCTCTCTCCCCATCAGCAGGGCCTCGCAGGGCAGCTTGCTTCATCTAGGGAACCCCTCAGTGCAGGGTGTGGTGGCTCTGACATCAAGGGAAAGAGAAAAGGGAGCTGGTCCTGCCGACGGGCCCCTTGTGCTGGTGTCTGGTGGGTGTGCAGCAGTCTGAGCACGCTCTCTGGGCCCCTCACACATCCTGTGGGCCCAGCATATGTCAGCACGTCCACCCATGTGTCTCCCAGCTCCTGGGGCACCAAGCAGACCTCTGCACGGTGACTGTCTCCCCCGAGTGTGGCGTGCTGGGTCCCAGTGAGGAACTCTCCCTGGACCTGGAGTTGACTACCCACACCCAGGTGAGTGGTGGGGTGAGGGCCTGAATGCCTGGTGGGCATCTCTCCTCACTGGGACCCCCAGATGCATCTTACTAAGGTCCCTGCTTCTGGTCCTCGTGACTAGAGAAGGTCTGTTGCGTTTGAGTCTCATTTCCTGCCCAGTTCTCGGGACACAAGGGTACGGAGCCTCAGGCAGGCCGAGGTGTGTCCTCGAACCTATCAACCAGCTGTTGGCATCAGTGCTGGCCATCAGCAGGCTGTTTATTCTCTGTGGCACGGGTGGACCCAGCGTCCCAGCTTTCCGAGAGATCCAAAGCAGAGCTACCCCTCGGGTGATGCCCGGCACTGAGACTCCTCCTGTGGGCCCAGCGTGTGTCAGGGAAGCCAGCTACTCGCCAGCTTCCTCCTGCACGGACACGGCACTCTTCCCACAGTGACCCATTGGAAGGCCCTGGGATTGAACATCCTCAGTGCTTGGGCCTCTGCTGGCTCCCCTCCAACCTCCCTGTGGGAACATGTAACTTCTCAGAGGCTTGTAGACCCAGGCCCCAGTTCCTTCCTGGCAAACATGGGGCCAGTAGCTTCCACTCACAGCCGAACCTCAGCTCCAGGGTGGTAGACGGATAGGCCCAGGCTTAGCGCTGAGCGGAGCTGGCTCAAGGAGGGCGTGGTTTCCACTGCTGGCCTTGTCCCTGTGGGTGGCGGTTCCCAAAGAGAATCTGGAAGTGCTGCTGGTTGGGTTATAGCAGCTTCGATTGAGCGACCTACTCTGAAGTCCACTTTGGGGATCTCACCTTGTGTCATCTTGCCCAGATGTCTGGAGCAGCCTCAGCCTTGAGGAAGGGCGTAGACCTTCAGGACTGGTGGATCTAGAGAGAGGTCAAAGCTTTGGGGCTGTGCTACCCCTCGGCCAGCACGCCTGCTGTGGAGGGCCATCACGGCCCTCTTCAGAAGTTCAGCACTGGGCCATCCCTGACCGATCCCTGCATTCGATGTGACTTTGGACTGGTTTCTCTTCTAGGAAGAGCTGACTAGTCTGGCCCTCCTGTGTCATGTGTCAGGCATGCAGAAGCCCGTGGCCTTGGCCATTTCTGGGAAGGCGCAGGGACTGCAGGTGTCCATTGCCATCGCTGTAGAGAGCCCTCCCAGCAGGTGAGCCCAGTCCCAAGGCTGGGACTTGAGGGTAGAGATGACCCCACAATGGGCCACCGCACACTGGTGTTGGTCTGACGGCTGTAACCAGGAAGAGGCCACCGTGCTGTCCCACCTTCCAGTCTACAGAACTGACCCCCCCAGCCTTGTCCTGCCCCCCCATGTGGCCTTTCCAACAGACTCAGTGGCATAGTGTCAGGCAGATGAGAGATGACCAGGCATCAGGCCTTCCCGCACAGGGCTCAGAGCTCAGGCCTGGGTCAGCTTGTGCAGAGCTCAAGGTCCCTCTTCTCAGCAGTGGCCAGCAGGAGGGGTGGGCCCTTGGGGTCAGTGTGGAAGGAGTTCAAGGATGAGACCTGCTTCCTGGGCGGCTCCCATCCCCCAAAGGTGTTAGGGCTGTGCCAAGGGTGACACGCCTAACATGGTCCCCATGGGTGTGGGGCAGCTTCCAGAGCACAGAGCAGTGGCCCGGCCGCCTGGAGGAGCTCCGCCTGGACTTCGGCTCATCAGTGCCACTCAGGACTCAAGTCAACGGCCAGCTCATCTTGACCAATCATTCCCCGATACAGACCCCTTTCACCCTCAATTTTGAGTACTTTGGGAGCGCCCAAAGCAGCCTGAACAAAAAGGCCAGCATGTAAGTCAGCTTCCTTTCAGAGGTGGGTGCCAGGTGGCTGTGACATGATGGGGATTTTACCCTGTTTACCTCTGTGGTTCACGTGACAAGAGGGTAGTTGCTGTGAGAGGTAGGAGGGTGCATTGTGCAGGTGGACATGGGGACACACAGGAAGTGGCACCTGCCAGACCATCAGTGGGGCTGTGGAGAGGTGGCCGGATGGTCCTTTCTCCTCAGCCTGGTCTGCTGTTGTGGAGGCTTCTGCTGGACCTATGAGCTGGCCCCTGGGTGAGGCAGGAGTTCCCTCAGGGAAGGGAACTATGGGTAGAGGTGTGCCCAGATAATGGTGAGCAGTATGTCTGGGCTGATGGATGCAGGGTGAGGCAGGAAAGAGGGCACCCACAGTGAAAAGGGCAGAGATCAACAGAGCGGCTGTGCCCCTCGGCGGAAATAAACTCGGACCACTGTTAACCCAGAGAGGCAGAGAAAGAGTGAAGCTGGAGTCCACTGGTGCTGGCTGGGGAGAGTCAGATGATAAGTATTCATTTTGCAAGATGGTAGCTGGAAAATCTGCTACAGTGAGAGTGTCCACACCACAGAAATTGGCAAACACTGCAAATTAAGGCCTCTTTCCCCCACAACCCCCCAGAAAACCATGAAGATATTTCTTGGAAAACACTCCTGATCTCCTAAGACAAAGGAAGCCGACTTCATAATTTCTGCCTCTGGTGGGTGGGTGGGGAGCTCAGAACAGTTTGTAAGCCGCGCACTTTCCCACCCTGGAGAAGCTGGGTGCATGGAGGCTGGGCAGATATCAGGAGTTAAAACTGGAACGGGAGCTGTTAAGACTCAGCCTGCGATGGAGTTTGTATCCAGGGGTCCTACACTGGGGGTATGAAGGGGATCCACTGTCCCAGAGCTTGCCGAGGGGACACTTGATGCCCTGCTGGGGGTCCAGCGGGAGCCAAGACTGGAAAAGGAGGTGCGGATGCGACCTGACTGCCTCTCCCTGGGAGGAGCTTGCAGGCCTTCCTCGACTGAGCACCGGGAGGGACCTGGCTCCTGTGGAGGCTCAGGCCTCAGGAAGGCCTTGACTGTCTTGTCCTTTCTGTGTCTCTGTCCCGTGGAGACCTGACATGGCCCCTGCCCTGCTGAGGACAGCGAGGATTCGAGAGCAACTGGCCAAGCGAGAGGAAGTAGGTAAGGGCCACCACGGTGGGTGTTAGTCTAGACCAGGGTCACAGCTAGACTTCCCGCGGTTTCTGCGGATCCCACATCTGTCTGTTCTAGCTACACTTCCCAAGATGTCTGTGACCTTTCACCTGGCATGGCCTGCCCCTCCTATGAAGCGCATAGACACACACACACACCCTCCCAGAGCACAAGCTTGGGCCAGGAGCCTGGATTTGATTTGGGATAGCTGGTGGTCAGTGAGGGAGGGCCCCAACTGGGGCATGGCCTCTCAGGGGGTGAGAGGCCAGCCAGGCAGAGCCCTGAGTGTCCTAGCTTCTTGGCTTCCACGATGTGGTCGTGCTCTGCCTGACCTCAGCAGGGCTGCAGGCCGACTTCTCTGTGACGATGCACACGGTCCTTTGCTCATATGTGAGACCTTGTTTTTTTTATTTTTTTTTTTAAATTTTTTTTGTGTGAGTGTACCGTCAAATCAGATCTGACTGGTACAGGAGGAGATTGTCCCTCCTTCCCCGGCAGAGCATCTGGTGGATTTGAACCATGCGCCTTTGGGATTGTAGTTGCAGTTCCTTGCCACTAGGCCACCAGAGTTCCCCATATGTGAGACCTTGTACCTCACATCCCAGGGCTCTGAATCTCCACTCTTGATTCTCCCCGCAGATTTTATGGAAAGCATGCTGGCTCATGGGAAGGGAGCGGCCTTTTCCCCACACATTTCCCAGGGCATCCTGGGAGCCCACCAGCGGCTCAGCATTGGTATCGCAGCCTGTGCCAACATGTGGGGCGAGTACTGGGACAACCTCGTCTGCCTGGTAAGGGCGTGCGGCTGCCAGCTACCTGGGGGTGGGGACAATAATCCCCTTTATGCTACCTGCCCTCCTACACCTGGCCTTCCCCGTGGAAAGCTTACTGGTTATGAAATGCTACTCACCAAGTGCGGATGGAAATTCAGGTTGTGTAGGGACCTTTGGGCTGCCTGCCTGGCCCAAAAGCCCAGAAGGAAATGGCCTGACACCTGGCGTGGGGCGTAAGCAGTGGTGGGACAGTGACCGCCTCCCAGAGCACACCTCCTCACCTCGTCCTCTGGACATTCATTTGCCATTCTGTTTATGTAGCGAATCCAGAGATGGATAAGATCATAGACAACACCCTCCAAAGAGTTTCCGACTTAGTGTGGGGGGAGTGGTTGTTGGTGCCATTGAGTTGAAACTGGCTCATCGCTCACTCTCCAGTGGGCGTTTAGAGGCAGTAACTCACAAGGAAGGAGATTTCCTGTCTTTCTGCTGTGGAGCCGCGGGTGGATTTGAACTGTTTGCCTTTGGATTGGCAACACAACTCCTTACCACCGAGCCGGCAACACTGCGCATTATCTCCATTAGTTATTGCATGGAAGATTTTCATTAATTTAGTAACTCGAACAAGTTACTTAGAGTAGATCCTTAGTATAGATTGGATTATATGACAAAGCAAGATTTAGAAGAGGCCATGACACTAGGGATTTCATTGCTGATGTCAGATGGATCCTGGCTGAAAGTAAAGAATACCAGAAGAATGTCTATTTGTGCTTTATTGTCTATGCAAAGGCATTTGACCCTGTGGATCATAACAAGTTGTGGCTGACATTGAGAAGAATGGGAACCTCAGAGCACTTAACTGTGCTCATGTGAAACCTGTACCTCAACCAGGAAGCTGTTGTATGAACAGAGCAAAGGAACACTGCATGGTTCAAAATTAGGAGTGAGGCAAGGATAATGAGGCTTTGCCTCACATAATTCGAGTATGTTGCTAGGAGAGTCTATTCCTTGGCAAGGGACATGGTGCTGGGAAGAGTGGAGGGTCAGCGGAGGAGAGGAAGACCCTCAATCAGGTGGATCGATGCAGTGTCTGCCGCAATGGGCTCTTGCATGTCAGGAAGTGTGAGGATGGCACAGGACAGGACAGGGTTCAGATCTGTTGTTTATAGGGTCACTATGAGTCGTACTTGACTCTGCAGCACCTAACAACAACACGACAAAGAGCTGACTGATCACCCTAATAGACAGAGTTCTTAAATAGCAATAAAGAAGCATAAATGGGCGTTGGTCAGGCAAGTCACAGAAAGACAGACACAAGTGACTAGTAAGTATGTAGCAGCTGTGGGGAGCCCTGGTGGCCTAGTGATAATTATTGCCTTTGAAAACCCACTGGAGAAGGGAGCTCTGGTGGCCTAGTGGCAAGAAGCTGCACTGCAATCCCAGAGGTGAGCAGTTCGAATCCACGAGATGCTCTGCTGGAGAAGGCAGGGCAAGCTCCTCCTGTACCAGTCAGATCCAATTTGACGGTAGACACACACAAAATAATAAAATAAAAATTTTTTTAAAGTATCAAAAAAAAAAAAAGAAAGAAAACCCGCTGGAGAGTCAGCCATGGGTCGATTCTGACTCAATGGCACACATCAACAAAGTTTCAAGTAATCTGTAATAAACTCAACACTCGCTGTCCTCAATCAGATCTGCTCAGTACTGACCCTCCACCGGGTTTTCAGAGGCTGTAAATTGATGGGAGGAGACTGCCCAGCTTCTGCTGCTCTGAAATAGAGAAACAGATGCAGAAGAGAAAGGGGAGAGACAAGCCTGCCCAGCATCCCCGTCCCTCGGCAGAGAGGAGCGAATAAGGGTGCTGAGCGACAGCCGGGCCGTCAAGTTCTGTGTCGCTCATGAGAAGCAGCTGTAAATCTTTATTAGTAAAATGGTTTAGTGTTGTATAACAGGACTGACATTGAGGTTGGGGGAGACAGAGAAAGATGGGATAACTAATGTACACTGCATTGAAAGTTAATAGCAAGTCATGCTGGGTAGGGAGGATTATGGAGAATTACCACATACTATTATTCTGTTTTAGATATTGCTTATTATGTTTTATAGTCATAGAAAGACAACATGTTTTCACTGAGCAGATACAGAAATTTGGTAGAAGGTGCTGTGAGAGGCCAAAGTGTCGAGGCAGGCGAGCTGCTGTCGGGCTGGGGGAGACATGCAGCCCAGGGAGGTGGTGAAGGAGGCCAGGGCAGGGGATGTGGCTCCGCTGGTCCTTGAGTCTGGAGTAGGAGTCAGATGGCTGGGGTCGAGCTGCGGAGACCCTGGGCTGGCTGGAAGAAGGGGTGCACATCAGATAACTGGGGTCAAGCTGCAGGGCCCCTGGGCTGGCTGGAAGAAGGGACAAGTGTCAGATGGCTGGGGTCGAGCTGCAGAGACCCTGGCCCTGCTCAAGGAAGGGCGTGGGGAGCTGGGGAGCATGCATCCGGCTGGGAAGCAGAGTCACAGAGGACTGGCGTGTGCTTGCAGGTGGGAGACCTACCTCCAGCCATCATCCCCGTGCACATGGCTGTGGCGGGCTGCCCCATCAGCTCCCAAAGGACCCCCTACACCGCTGGCCAGGCTCACAAGGAGCCCATCATCAGGTGGGTGCCCAGACCACAGCCTCATCCTCTGCTCCCTGGTGGCCCCTGAAGGCCTCTGGCCTGAGCTCCCTCTGAGTGGTGTCCACTGGCGTCACCCAGCAAGAAGGTCCTGGGCAAGGGTGAGGCTGGGGGAGAGAGACCTCAGGGGACATGCCCCCATCTGTACATCTCAGAAGGCTTTTAGTGGTTGAAGTCGTGAGTAGTTAGCATGGCCCAAGGTCAGTGCCAGACCCAAGACTCCTCACACCAGCCAACCTATAGTCAGTGCACTTGTGTATATGTGATGGGGTCACTGGACAGTGACCAGCTGCCTCCTGGCCCACCAGACACTGTGCGGGAAGGCTTCCAGCAGTGACCCTCAGCCACTCTGGAGAGATGAGGCAGATCGCCCTGGCACCTCCTCTCTGCCTAAGTCCCCACATGCCCGGCCCCCATCTCAAAGCAGCGAAGTCTGCAGAGAGTACCCGTCTGTGTCCGCAGCTCACCCTGAGCCTCCCCCACACCAGGTTTGGCACTCTGCTCTCTGGAGGAAATGCTGTCACCCGAGTCATTCGTCTGCATAACTCCAGCCCATGTGGTGAGACACGCAGGGGAAAAGGGGGGGCTCTCGCAACCAGCTATGTCTGTGGTGGTCAGGCTGGGACTGGAGCAGGCCGGTCCATGAGCAGGACCCAGGAATGCTGGGAATCCTGATGGCCAAGCTGATGGGAGGGGAAGATGATCCAAGCCAGCCTGGGACTCAGAGAACAGCTAGAATTCCTGACAGGGCTTGTTCTTCCCAACTTGGAACCTCCTGGGGTCTGGACCACTGATGCCTTCTCTTTTCATGGGGACACTTCTAGGGGACCCCTTTCCATGGCTTCGACCTCAGTACTTGAACTTCATGTCAGATGCTCTCCAAGGTGCTAGGGATACAGAAGGAACACAGCATTACTGTCAGAGAGCTGGACAATGACTAGGGAGAATAGAAGGAGAATTGAAGCCTTTGAGCTGTGGTGCTGGAGAAGAGTATTGAATGTACCATGGACTGCCAAGAAAACAAACAGATTCATCTTAGAGAGGGTTAAACCGGGCTGCTCCTTGGAGGCAAGGATTCTGGGGCTTCATCTGACATACTTTGGACATGTTGTAAGGAGGTCCAGGTCCTTGGAGAGGGACATCATGCTTGGTAGGGTGGAGGGACGGCGCAGGAGGGGAAGACCCTCTATGAGGTGGATTGATTCGGTGACTGGGGTCATTGGGATGGGTGTGTCAGAGGCAGTGTGATTGGCACAGGATAGAGCAGGGTTTAGGGCTGTTGTACATAGGGTCACTATGAGTCACAAGCAACTCGACGGCACATAACAACAACAACAACAGCAACAGCCAGGAAATCAAGAGACGAATTGCACTGGAAAAGTCAGCTGTGAGGGACCTCTTGAGATTACTGAAGAGCAACGACGTCAGACAGGAGACTAAGGTGCACCTGATCCATGGAGAGGGACATCATGCTTGGGAGGGTGGAGGGACAGCGCAGGAGGGGAAGACCCTCTATGAGATGGATTGATTCGGTGACTGGGGTAATTGGGATGGGTGTGTCAGAGGCAGTGCGATTGGCACAGGATAGAGCAGGGTTTAGGGCTGTTGTACATAGGGTCGCTATGAGTCGCAAACAACTTGATGGCACATAGCAACAAGAAGGTCATCCTGATTGTAGGACATATTGGGGCCATGGGCTCTGTGGACGCTGGGTGTGTTGTTGGGACTGGAGAGGCAGTGACAGTGGCAAAGAAGGCTAGGGGTAATCCAGTAAGTAAGCCGATGGCGTGTGGAGGAAGCTTGTGGCAGTGGCCCCCGGCTGATCACTTCTCCTTACACAGCCTGGTGGTCCCCTGCTCCCACGAGCCTGTAGTCCCAGGCACTCGGGTTGCTGAGGCTGGAGGATCACTTCAGTCCAGGAGTTCTGGGCTGTAGTGCGCTGTGCCAACCAGGTGTCCACACCAAGTTTAGCATCAATATGGTGACCTCTTGGGAGTGGGGACAACTGCCACAGTCTTCCTTCAGCGTGGGCCTGCAAAGACAACTTGCAGAGCAGAACAATTGCCTGGAAGTGATGTCAGAGAAAAATAAGTCCTGACCCTGCCCTCTGTGTGGGAATAGCCGGCTCACTTGAGGAGCTCCAGCGAGAAGGCCTACAGAGGCCTGTCCTCTCCTTATTCCTTGTCCTTGCTCCCACATCTACCCCAGACATCCGCCTGGACTGGCAGACCTACGTTCCAGAAGAAAAGGAGGATCGGCTGCTGGAACTGCTGGTGTTTTATGGGCCGCCCTTCCCGCTGCGAGACCAAGAGGGGAACGAGATAGTGTGCCCCGAGACCCCCGAGACCAGCTCTCCCTGGTCCCCATGTCTCTCCGGGATCTCTGGGCAGGATGCTGCCCAGTCTGTAAGCAGAAGGTGGCGGGAGAGGTGGGCTGGCCAGTCTGAGGGCTGCCCAGATGTGGGTAGCGGGCTGGCTGGGCCCGTGTGAGCCGGGGACCCCTTGATGACAGGACGAGAACAGTGACCGCCACAGAGCCCCCCAGAAGATCATCTCAGTCATACTGCAGGAGCACAGCGGGGTTCCCTCAGAGCACCTCTACTCTCTCAGCCCCAAGCAGCTGGTGAGTTGCCCCGGAAGCTGGGAGCTCCCTCAGTCCCTGCTGGCCGCCCTCTGGGCAGTGCTAAGGCTGCTCTGTCGGTGCCAGGTGGTCCCTGCTAGGGACAGTAGGACCGTCTGCGTCTCCTTCACACCCATGGTCCTCAGCCCGGACGTCCTGAACAAGGTGGAGTGTACCGGCTACGCCCTGGGCTTCATGAGCTTGGACAGCGAGGTGAGCCCTCCTGGCTGGGGTTAGGGGCCACCCCTGTCCTGGATGGCTGCTTTACCTGGGGAGCACCAGGGGTGAAGCTGAGTCTCAACAGGTGGAGAGGGACATTCCACAGAGGAGGAGGCGCCTTCAGGACTTTGCAGTGGGACCCCTGAGACTCGACCTGCATGGTTGTGTGAGGTCTGCACGGTGAGTGCCGGCCAGCTGGCCTCTCCTGTCCCCTGGTGGACATGTCCTCACTGTGCAATGAGTCCCGGGTCACCTGGCCTCTCCTGTCCCCTGGTGGACATGTCCTCACTGTGCAGTGAGTCCCGGGTCAGCTGGCCTCTCCTGTCCCCTGGTGGACACGTCCTCACTGTGCAGTGAGTCCCGGGCCAGCTGGCCTCTCCATCCCCTGGTGGACATGTCCTCACTGTGCAGTGAGTCCCGGGTCAGCTGACCTCCCCTGTCCCCTGGTGAACACATCCTCACTGTGCAGTGAGTCCCGGGTCAGCTGGCCTCTCCATCCCCTGGTGGACATGTCCTCACTGTGCAGTGAGTCCCGGGTCAGCTGGCATCCCCTGTCCCCTGGTGGACACGTCCTCACTGTGCAGTGAGTCCCGGGTCAGCTGGCCTCCCCTGTCCCCTGGTGGACACGTCCTCACTGTGCAGTGAGTCCCGGGTCAGCTGGCCTCTCCTGTCCCCTGGTGGACACATCCTCACTGCAGTGAGTCCCAGACCAGCTGGCCTCTCCATCCCCTGGTGGGCACCTCCTCACTGCAGTGAGTCCCGGGCCAGCCCGCCTCCCCTGCCCTCTGGTGGGCGCATCCTCTCTGTGCAGTGAGTCCCGGGTCAGCTGGCCTCTCCTGTCCCCTGGTGGACATGTCCTCACTGCTAGCCTCTCCTGTCCCCTAGTGGGCACCTCCTCACTGCAGTGAGTCCCGGGCCAGCTGGCCTCTCTATCCCCTGGTGGGCACCTCCTCACTGTGCAGTGAGTCCCGGGCCAGCTGGCCTCCCCTGTCCCCTGGTGGACATGTCCTCACTGCAGTGAGTCCCGGGCCAGCTGGCCTCCCCGTCCCCTGGTGGGCACAGTGCACACTAGTGGAGACCAGTCGGGGTTGTGGGAACAAGAGCATTAAGAATGGAAGGGCGAAGCCAGCAGGTGCATCCAGGGAAGGTTGCCCAGGAGTCAGGGGAGCAGAGCAGGTGAGGCCTTCAGGCCCAGAGGCCTGGCCCAGCCCAGCAGTGCTTGTGGTTTGAATAGGCTAAGTGTGGAGCTGGACTACGACGGGGGCATGACATTCTACTGTCAAGCCAGTGACCTCATCCCAGAAGAGCCGCACACTGGGGTGAGTGTGTTACCGCCCCAGCCCCGCCCCAGTGTCCCTGCGGGCCCTCCCAGGGCACAAGCCGGCCAGTGTGAGTCCCCTCCTCCAGCCTTCTTGGAGGAGATTAGGGACGATGGGTCCCTGCAGCCCACCCTGCCTCTGGTCTCCCAGGTGCTGCGGGAGCTGGTGTCCACTCACCACCTGAAGCTGAACAACCCCGCAGAGATCCCGCACGGCTTCCGGCTCCGGGTCTCCGCACCCTTCTCGGCTTCTCCTGGTGAGGCTGGCTTCAGAGCACCCGTCCCGGAGCACAGGGAGGAGGAAGAGGAGGAGGAAGGAGCCAGAACGAGCGGGCTGCTGGTGCTCCGCCCTCGGGAGAACATGCTGGTCAGTGGGGGAGTGGCCACAGCTGGCCTTTCACACACAATGGTCACGCAGTCACCTGGGCCTGACAGGACCTTCTTGTTATACACACTCACACAACACAACTGCACACACCATCCCTACACACACACACACACACACGCACACCCTGACATGAGCACCTGGGTGTTTGTGTCCAGACATAGCCACTCACACACCCACTGTACAACATCACACACGCACACACACACACACACACGCACACCCTGACATGAGCACCTGGGTGTTTGTGTCCAGACATAGCCACTCACACACCCACTGTACAACATCACAGGCACTGTGGGCCCCTCCATGCAGGTGGCTCACGCGTGTAGGTTTGACGTGCACATCCCAGCATGCACGCAGAGACCTCCATCCAGAAACACCCAGATCTGGCCTTTGTCCTCTGTCAGTACCCTGTGGAGGTCATTGCCCTGCTGGCTGTGTGTCCACCTTCGCTGCGACAGTCCCCTTCCCACGTGGCCTCACTCAGGACTCCTGGGTCTGAGGTTCTCACGGTCCACCTGCCATTTCTCCATGTGTGGGTGGCCCTCCAGGTGCGACAGTGACTTCCCTTCTGGCAGGGCATCGGTGATAGTAAGATTCTGGATTTGCAGAGCTGAGCGCACCTTCGAAACGTGATTAATTCAGCGGGAACCATGAACTGTTGCTTCCTTGGCCTGCTGGGTGGTTGGGCATCTGCACAGCGGGCTTCCTGGAGGTGGTTCCTCACCAGGTGAAGGCCGGCTGGCCAGGCCCCGCTCGCCTTCCTAACTCCTCTCCGTGCCAAGCCCCTCTTTCTTTCTCTCCTCTCAGCACTCCCATCAGGCTGTGCTCTTGCGACACTGGGCTCTGGTGCTGCTCAGCACACTCTGGGGTTCTTCTGCCCACTTTGGGGGCTTCCAGGACTTGCCACATTCTTCTAAAATGTGAGCTTCCGCATGTCTGTATGAGGCTCTGTGCTGGGGAGAGATGCTAAGACGTGAACCCCTCCATCCTCACCACAGACAAGGCGAGCTGGACGCAGGTCTGTGGGAAACAGAAGGCTGGTCACTCTCGACCGCTTCACGCATGCTCCCTTCTTCAGGAGCAAAGCTGAAGGGATTCCCATGAGCACCACCAAGGGTCCAGTCCCACCAGACTTGTCAGACTGCAGGCTTGGTCACCAGCTACATCAGAACCCTTGGTCAGCTCTGGAGAAGCCCACACATTCCCAAAGTAAAAGCCGTCATGTGGGGCCACGACCTCACATCATCCTTTGCTGACACTGCCTAGGCCTCTGGCCCCTGTCCAGAATTTTCTCCAAACCTCTAGACTCTTATTCAACATGACTAAATGGAAATTCTCATCTCCCTTCACTCCTTGTCCTGTCCCTCACCTCTGTGGTGTTGCAGCCCCACAAACACAAGCCCCGTCCATCCCTTGTCCAGGCCAGAATCTGGTGTTCCCCATTCCAGACACCCCTTTCTGTTGTACCAGCCACCAAGCCCCGCTGACGCCCCTCCTACGTGTCACTCAGCACTGCTCCCTTCTCATCCCTGTACCTTGTTCTAGGACAGTAGTTTCCAAAGCCAGCAACAGATCCTTGGAAAGCTTGTTAAAAATCTCAGTTCCTGGCCCCTACCTCTCAAAATGTGAAAGTCTGGGCTGAAGCCCAAGAATCTGTATTTTTAAATTTGTTTTACTGGTTTGCATATAATAATTCGTATACATCATGTTTGGTACATGTGCTTTGTGTTTTAGACATTCATATGCATTATATTTTATATAATATCATTGTTCCATTACTTCACCCCCAACACTCACTAACCTCTGCTATTTCAGTGATATTCCCCCCTTTCCCTTTTTATGCCCGCTTTTCACCTTTCCCTTTTGAACATTTAAATACATCTTAATCCGTTATCCTCCTGTTTTCACAATAGTGGCCTTGTGCAATATTTGTCCTTAAGTGACTGAGATATTTCACTCAGCAAAATGCTTTCTAGTCTTTCCCAAGTTATATGTTGTTGTGTACCATAGAGTCAGAATTGACCCATAGCTGATCTCTGGTGGGTTTTCAGAGGCAGTTAAACACATAGGAGGAGATTACCCATCCTTCTCCGGCGGAACAGCTGGTGACCTCGAGCTGCGTGCCTTCAGTATTGCAATGCAGCTTCTTACCACGAGGCAAGAAGTTACATAGTATTTTACAGAATTGTTGTTCCTTAGTGCTGCACAGTATCCCATGTGTGAATGGGCCGGTTTCTCGATCCATTCGTTTGTTAATGGGCATTTGGGTTGTTTCCATTTTCTTGCTTTTGTGAATAATGTTGCTGTGAACATAGGTGTACAAATCTCTGTCTCAGTTTTGTTTTCCTCGGGGTATATTCCTGGCAGTGGAGTAGCTGGGAATGTGAGCTGTTTACGTGCAGCTTTTTCAGGAAACACTGAACTGCCTCCCATAGTGGCTGTACCGTTTTACAGTCCCACCAGCAAGTGCATTGAGAGTTCCAATCTCTCTACATCCTCACCAACACTGATTGTTTGCTGTTTTGTTGAACTGTGCTACTGCTCCTGGAGGGAGGTGGTATCTTGCTTTTTGATTTGTATCTCTCAGCTTGCTAGTGATTTTGAACATTTCCTCGTGTGTTTCTTGGCCACCTGAATGTCCTCTTTTGTTAATTATTAAATTTTATTAATTTTAATGAACATTTACAGAGATTTTGGGTTTTCATTCATTCATTGTTGCCTGAATGTCCTCTTTTGTGAAGAGACTTTTCATGTCTTTTGCCCATTTTGTGTTTGGGTTAATGGGGGTTTTCCATTTTATTTTATTATTATTTTGTGTTTGTGCACCGTCAAATCGGATCTTACTGGTACAGGAGGAGATTGTCCCACCTTCTCCAGCAGAGCATCTGGTGGATTCGAACTGCGCATCTCTGGGATTTGCAGTGCAGCTTCTTCTTACCACTAGGCCACCAGAAGGCCCTTGGAAAGAATCTACTTTTTTTTTTAATAATTTTAATGAACATTTACAGAGATTTTGGATTTCCATTCATTCAAGAATCTACTTTTAAGAAGCACCTTCTTTGATTCTGGAGGGCTTGTCTTGGGAACCAGGTGATTAAGCTCATCGTCTGTGGCCTTGATGGTGGTCCTGGCCCCTAACCCGTGCTCACTCTTGTTCATGTCTGTCACTGACCAGAGTGGCCCCTGTGGAAGGCTGACAGTCCTCTGCTGAAAGCCTCTCGGTGGCTCCTCACTGCCCTCCGGATAAAGACAGTGAGCAGTCTAGCCACAGCCCTGCCACGCAAGGTGGCAAAGATGTGTTTGCTTGCTCCTCCCGTCTAGCCTCTGCCTCCCGAGGGCAGGCATGGTCGTGATGCCAACATTAACGAGGTCTGTGGAGTCAGTACACCAGGACGGTCTGGCTGGGCCCGTGGGCTAAGCTAGAACATGGCAGTGCTAGGAACTGCCCGGGCCGGCAGCAGTGAGAGGGAGGAAGGCTGGGAGTCTGAGCAGCCTGCGCTGACGGCGTGTCCGCATCTGCCCAGGTGAACGTGTCCTTCTCGCTGTCACGGGAGCTGCTCTACCCGAAGCTGCCAGCTGACCAGATGCTGACTGGAGTGCAGGTCCGGCAGAGCGCGAGCGGGGAGAGAGAGGTGGTGTTCACACAGGACCTGCTCCTGGAGTACACCAACCAGACCACCCAGGCAAGCCCCCCATGGGCCCCACAGCTGAGCGGGCGGTGCAGGCTGGACCCTGTGCTGCTGGGGCACGAGGACAAGCCCAGGTGGGCCTTCAGAAATCAGAGCATCCCCAGCCCGACCTTCAGGGCCCAGCCTGCTCTGGAAGAGCCTTGCATGTGAAGAAGAGTCATCCCATGCTCACTAGTCCCAGGAGAAGGTCGTCCTTTAAGATGGAACACCAGGGAAGACTCCCTGGAGGCGGCGGCATGTAGAATCACACTGTAGAATCAGGAGGAATAGAAAACCACTCAGGAAGTCAGGCTGCAGGGGTGAGGCAGGGAGCAGCAGGGGCAGCCGTGAGGGGCCACTCGGGTGTGGGGGTCTCCGGGCAGCCCAGGTGTTAGACTTCAGCACAGGATGCAGGGCTGTGGAGGGAGGCCCGGCTGAGAGGCCCAGGTGAGGAAAATGGATGGATGGATGGATGGATGGATGGATGGACTGGACTGGGTGATGTGCTTGAGATGCCAGAAGGGTGAGTGTTGGGTTCCGGGACCCAGCCTGAGGGTGCTCTCAAGTCTACTGCCTGGGCAGCTGTGGGAGGCAGGGGCCCAGGAAGGTGGCGAAAGCATGAAAGTCAGGTCACAGGTGTGGCCTGAGGCAAAGATGGCCCAGAGCCCAAGGGCAGCGGCGGGCTGGGCTTGGAGTCCCCGTGGGAGGAGGGAGGAGGAGCAGAGAAGTGGGGTTCTCCAGGAGCAGAAACTACAGTTTGTTTGGGTTTAGGGTGGAGGATGGCAAGCGGGTTGATAAATGTTCCTACACAAAATCCTGGCTTCTCCCACCGGCCCCAGCTCCTTCCACCTCCTGTGTCACCCGGTGCCCTCCACACGGGTGTCACAGCTGTGATTCTGGCTGAGCCCAAGAAGTGGGCCACATTAAAGGTCCTGTCCCCCAAATGGTGCCCTGATGGCCATGGTGGCCTCGTCCCCCAGGTGGTGCCCTGCGGGCCGTGGTAGCCCTGTCACCCAGTTGGTGCCCTCTGGGCCCTGGTGGCCATGCCTGAGCTGAGTTAAAGGCCTCATTCCCCAGGTGGTGCCCCTGCGGGCTGTGGTGGCCGTGCCCGAGCTGCAGGTGTCCACCAGCTGGGTGGACTTCGGAACCTGTGTTGTGAACCAGCAGCAGGTGCGGGAAGTCCACCTGATGAACCTGAGCTGCTGCCGGAGTTACTGGACGGTGCTGATGGGTGCGCTGGGCCCCCCTCCTGCCACGGCCCCGCTGTGGGCTGGCACCGGCTGGGAGTGCCATAGAAATGACCAGTTCCCATTCCAGTGGATTCGTGGGGGTCTCCCCACCCTGAGGGACTGGGCAAGATAGAAATGTCCGGCAGGCAGACAGGGTAAGCCTGGCTGCAGTGAGAGCCTATTGGGGCAGCAGATGGCCCATGTGTCTCCCCTCCCACGCTGTAGGCGAGGAAGAGCCAGCCAGGAGCACCACAGCCTTCCAGGTCTCCCCCAACAGCGGGATGCTGGAAGCACGGCCAGTCAATGCACCCCCACCCACTGTCACTCTGCAGGTCACCTTCACAGCGAGGTACAGCCCCTCTCGGCATCCTGGTCCTGCCCAGGGCCTCCAGCCAGAGCTTCCTAACCTCAGTGCCCTCCCTTCTCCCCGCAGGAGCAATGAGCTGTACGAATCCACGCTGGTGGTGGACGGAGTGCTGGGCGAGAAGGCCTGCGCCCTGTGGCTCCGGGGCAAGGGCTTCGAGGACAAGCAATATGTCACCTCCCTGGCCTCCCCCAGATCTGTGGCTTCCCCCCAGTCCCTGGCCCCAGGCCCCCAGCTTTGGAAAAAATAAACATGCCTGTGGGGTCAGTGTGTCCACTTGCTACACAGCAGAACACTGTGACACTGATGTGTCAAATGCGTTAATGGTCACCTATGGTGGACAGTGTTTGGTGGAGCTCCCTGATTAAAACAAGCTTGGAAGCAAGAGTGGCATCCACTTGCGTAAATAGCTTGGCTCCAGAAACCTATGAACCTGGAGAGAGGATGAAAGTCACCCAGGCATTGAGGACTTGACAGCACTTAACAACATGGAGTCAGTCTGCAAAGAGCTGGTTTCTCAGGCCCCTCTGGACTGTCGGCATTTCTTGGCTGAAAGAGTCTGCTCCAGGATAGTGGAATGAAAACCTACTATTCAGGCGACTCGAAGGCACAGAACAACAATTCCAGCGGAGCACTGGTGGCCTAGTAGCAAGAAGCTGCGTTGCAATCCTGAAGGCACGCAGGCCGAGGCCACCAGCTGCTCTGTGGAGAAGGATGGGCTGTGTGATTAACCACCTCTGAAAGCCCACCGGAGGGTCAGCTGAGGGTCGGCTCCAACGGTGAAGAACGACATTCCAGGGGAGGGAGAACTACGAGGGTGGGGCGGCGACAATGAGCATGGGAGGACCTTCCCTTGGAAGAAGACACAACCAGCAAGCTATGACCACAAACATTTACTTCCATCCACTGTCCTCCTATCCACGGCTGCTCCCCTGCAGATGTCACCCGTGGCCCTGTGGTCTGGGCGATCCGCCCTTTACTGCGTGTTAGTGTTTCTAGTTCCCCAATCTGGTTGAAGTGCCTTGATTTGCTTTGCCACCACCACCAGTGCGCATTCCCCATGGCTTCGTCTGTAGTGCTGGTCTCCTGCCACCACAGCGGAGCCGTCTGCGTCGCACTCCTGTCCGCTGGATGCCTGGGCCGCGCTCAGTTACCCTGGTACTCGAAGACAGCGGCAGCCCCCATCCCGGTGCCGATGCACATGGACACCACCCCGTACGCCCTGTGGAAGAAACTGGGTCAGCCAGGCCTACACGGCAGAGGCTCAGCCACCGAGACATGACGGACCAGACGTCACTCGAGGTCCGAGAGCTGCACGGGCCAAAGCCTTGCTGGGCCCAGGTGATGCTAACCCTCCTCCCAGACCAGACCATGGGCGTGTGGCATTCTGACGCCTGGTGTATACATAGAGTGGCAGATGGCAGCCGCAGGCTCCACGGGGAGCCCCCAGGGAAACTGGAGATCACGCCCCTATCTTCTCAGGTCAGAATTCTAAGCACCCCAGACTCCCAGCTGCCCCCGCCTGGGCACGTCTCACCTCTTCCCACGTCGCTTCAGCTCATTGAGCAGCGTGATGACCTGGCGTGCCCCGGTGCAGCCCAGAGGGTGGCCCAGGGCCACTGCCCCGCCCAGCGGGTTCACCTTCTCAGCAGGGATTCCCAGCTTCTCCACACAGTAGACGGCCTGGAAGGGGACACAAGGTGAGCAGCGCCCCTTCCGCGCTCTGTGCGTCTCACCTGCTGAGAGTCCAGCGGGGCCGCCCTGGGCCACACACTGTCCAGAAACCAAGGCTCACCTGACTTGCAAAGGCTTCATTGATCTCAAAGATGTCCACATCGTTCACCGTTAGCCCTGCAGGGAGGAAGCAGGCCTGCTTTGACCGGTCACTTTTAGGATGATCCCTGGGCCAACCCTACCCACAAGTCTGCAGGCTAACTGATAATGCCAGTCTGTTCTAGAAGAATGAGCAGTCGGTCCCTAGTGCTGGGTCATTAAGAATGTGGTATGGGATGCTCACCTGTCCCACCTTCACCCTGAAGGACCCCCAGCGGCACGCCGCACCTGCCACCCTCCCCCACCCAGCAGCAGCATGCACCTGGGGTCCAGGTCCAGGGCAGAAGGAGCCAACCTACCTGCTTTCTTCAAAGCTGCAGGGATGGCATAGGCAGGCCCAATGCCCATGACATCAGGCGGGACCCCAACCACCGCATAGGACCTTAGGACTCCCAGGATGGGGAGTGCCAACTCTTCAGCCTTGGACCTCCGGGCCAGGAGGAGGGCAGCTGCCCCGTCACTCACCTGGCTGGAGTTGCCTAGGGGTGAAGCGCAGGGGTGAGACAGTCAGGTCCTCCTGCGTCGCCCCGGCCGAGGGGCCACGGTCCCTTCATCAGCTCGGCCCAGCCCGGCCTCACCAGCAGTGGTGGAGCCGCCCTCCTTGAAGGCAGGCTTCAGCTTGGCCAGGCCCTCCATGGTGGTGTTGGCACGGATGCCCTCGTCCTGGCCCACGGTGATCCTCCTCTCGTTGCCCTTGTCGTCGTGGACCGTCGTGGTCACTGGCACAATCTCGGCCCGGAAGCAGCCCTTGCTCTGGGCTCTGGCTGCCCTGGCAGAACCACAGAAGGCCAGGCTCAGGCCCCTTCCAGGCCTTCCTCTCAGGGAGCCCGACACCTCCAGAACTGAGCCAGCCCCGACCACAGAGGGAGGGAGGGGGCACAGACGTGACAGCTCCCAGAGCCTTCACTTAAAAGGCACAGGGATCAAGCCTGCTCGTGTCTCTCTGCTAAAACTGAGGCTAAAGCCTCAGGGTGGGTGCCACCTTGCCAGTCTCCGCCTGTCCCTGCCCACTGGCCTGGCCCCTGGATTTTTGTTGATATAGTCTCATCTCAGGACAGTTCCCTAGACCCAGGCAGGCTTCAGAGGCTGGAATCCCGGGTTCCCTAGTATTGTGGGCCACAATCCAGAGAAGCTGTGCTACTGTGTCCAATCCCCAAAGCCCTGCAAAGTAGAGAACAGAGTCCTGACACTCATCATGTCCTGGGGGCAGAGAGGGAAACTGAGGCATAGGTGGTGGTGGTGGTGCTGCTGTGTCATCGAGTCAGAACCAACTCGGAGCTGACTCTCTGGTGGGTTTCAGAGGCAGTAAATCAATGGAAGGAGACGGCCCATCTTTCCCTCATGGATGAGAACCGTGTGCCTTCAGGTGGACAACACAGCTCCCACGAGGCCACCAGAGTTCACGGGCAGTGAGGAGATACGAAAGGTGAATGACGGTGACAGTGCTGTCACCACAGAGTGACCCTCGTCTGTGTCCACCCCACCCTGCTACAAGGTGCAAGGCATGCTCACTGGACAGCTGCCCCCTCAGGACAGCTCCATGGCCGGCCACCGAGGACAGCCTCAAAGCCCCTCCTTCAGCGGGAGACGCCGGGGCCAAGCAGCACTCACTTCTGCTGGGAAGCCAGGGCAAAGGCATCCTGCTTCTCCCGGGAAATGCCGAACCGCTCCGCCACGTTCTCCGAGGTGATCCTGGGACACACACAGCAAACAGTGAGGATGCGGCCCCAGCGTCCAGGGCACCGGCAGGGCCTGGGCCACGCTTGACTCTGGACCCCTGGGCTGTAGGCAGGGCGAGACAGGAGGGCCAGTCCACGCTCCAGGACAGTGGTGGTGAGTGAGGAGATCAATTGCGCTCCAAGAAAAGGTGAAGGGGTGCACACAGGGCGTCAGCACGCCGACTGGACCCTGACAGGATGTGCTGAGTGGACCCTGGGAGGGCGTGCTGTCTGTACGAGGGAGGGGCGTGTACAAAAAGGGCCTTTGTTCCCTGGGTGAGCTGGCTCAGCACCACAAGATGTGGGGCACAAGTGGGCGTGAATTGGGGTCGGGTATATGGGCCACTCTTTGCCAACTTCCCCAGTGCCCCAAGGGAAACGGTTTCAACATGAGACCATGACAATTCCCACGGAGACCCTGGAAAGGCTAAACCTTGGCTCTCTGCTCGTCTTGGCTGGAACCTACCCGGCTTCTGGCAACCCAGAGGCAGGGCAGGGCTGGGCCGTGCACCAGGACACCCGGTTCCGCGAGCTTCCTTCAGAGATAAGGGCACTGGAGATGGCACAGCCCTGCCCCTCTCTGAGCCCCAGGTCTCTCCACATGTCCAGGGACTCAAGTATCTAGTTCCCACCCGCAGACCCTGCGAACAGCCCAGAAACTCAGCAGCGCTGGCCACCAAGCTAAGGTGCTGTGACGTCCCATCGACAGGGCCCAGGCTTCTTCACCTGCATTTACAATCTGCAAAAGCTGCCTAATTCTTTCTCAGCTTTCTAGACCCCCACAGCTCTGGGATGCGGGCCCGAGACCTTCACTGTGGGAGTGACAGGGTGGGACACACAGAAGACAGACCTCGGGAAAGGGACGTCAAGGGTGGCATTGAGTTCCCATTCCCAGCATCCTACGGAGCAGGCCAGGCCCAGGGGCAGGAAGCCAGAGCCTGCCACTGCTGGCCGGAGGTGGTCAGTGTTTGTCAGCCCCCCGCTCCAGGCGGGAGCTGGGGTCATCACTCACCCCATAGGGATCAGGCAGTCTTTGGCCTTCTCGTTCTCTATCAGCCGTGAAGTAATATTCCCGGGGTTCCCCCTCTCAGACAGGGACATGGACTCCACCCTGAGGAAGGGAGTAGATGGGGTGGTATCAGAGTGGCTCCAGAGACAGCAGTGTATCTACCCAGGGTGGAATGAGCCAGGGAGCCCCCAGGAGATCCGGTGCACTATCCAGGGGCCAACGGCAGGACACTTGTCCCGCAAGGCAGAGCTCCCAAGGTCCACTTCCACCTCCCTGTGTCCCCCAGGACAGAGCACTACACAGTCCCCACTTCCCAGGACTGGGGCTGCCCTTTCCTGACACTGTCACTTCCACGGCCAACCAGTGGTTCCCAAGGACAGGTGTCCGGTGGCCTCCAGCAGACATCCAAAAGCTCCATCAGACCCTGTCTACCAGCACCACGGCCTCAGCGTAGGGAGGAGAGAGAGAATGGAAAGGCAACCTTCAAGCCACCCGTCAAAGAGCAACCTGGCCGCAGAGCCAAGGTGCGAGGAGCTGAGGGCAGGGTGAGACCTTAGCTCCGTGTGGTCAGAGAGGGCTTCTGGGAGGTCAGGGACCCCAGGCCCCAGAGAAAGCAGGAAACCCTGACCAGGTGCTTTCCACAAGTCAGCGCCGCTGTAATCTCTTTCCGAGCTTGAGAGCTTCGAGCTGTGTCAGCCACCTACATGCGCCATATGTGTCAGTACAAGTTATTCAACAGACTCGTCCCCTTCAGCACGGCTGAGGGACGTGTCCGTTTTAGAGATACGGACACCAAAGCCCAGAGGAGTAGCCAGTCCATCCATGGTCACCAGTCAGGACCCCAATGTAGGTCCCGAGAATACAACCCAACTAGGATGCCTCCCCAACACCCCTGCTTCAGCGTCCAAGTCACGGTGAGCAGTCAGCCTGTGACGTGGGTGCCAGTCCTGGCCCTGACCCTAAATAAACGAGTGAGAGAGTCCTAATCTGTTTGGGAACTTGGATTCCATGTACGAAACTCAAGAAGGATTGAGGTCTCCCAAGTCATCTGCACCTCCTACTAAGACTGAGGGACAGGAGAGAAATCAAAGGGCACCCCACAGGTGGTCTCAGCTTTCTTTACAGCTGCAGACCGAGGGCAGCAGGACATACCCACCAGCGCAGCCCCGAGGTAAGGACCAGCCATGCTTCCAATTCAGAAAAACCATCGGGAGGCACTTATGGCACAAGACGCACTTGACAACCCCAGTCCCCTCACTGCCCACCCCGGATGGTCTCTCAAGTCCAGTGTTCTCCTTTTCCTGGAGGTACTGCCCAATGCAACCCTGACACTACACACACTACGGCCAAAGATGGGGCCAAATCCTGAGCAGAGGTGACAGCAACCGGCCAATAAAGGCCTGACCACGTTCCTCGGACCCCAGGAAGCAGCTGGACTCTCCACCTTGCTGTAACAGCCGGGGCTAGAGGGGGAGACCGCCTGGCAACTTAACCAGCCGGTGACACGGGAAATGCCCCGGCTCCAGGGACCTAAAGCTTCTGTTCTGCTCTCAGCAGCATTATGGATGAACAAATAGCACAGAGGGAAATACAGATGCTTGGCTTTCTCAAAATGCTTGCCCACGTTCTCCAGGCTGACAGATTTTCAAAGAGGAAGCTCCATTTAAGAAACGTACGGAGGCTCTCAGCCAAGTTCCCTTCCCCACCCCACCCCATGAGACAGCGCTGGATGGTTCTCCAGCAGCCAAAGCTGAGCACTATCCTGAGAATTTACACAAACTGCCCCTAGTCCACGGCCTAAAGGGAGAATCCAGAAATCACTGCATCTGAGATCTCTGGTGGCTTAGTGGCAAAGAGTTGGGCTGCCAACCCAAAGGTACTTGGTTTGAATCCATCAGCTGCTTCCTCCCTTGCAATTTACAGCCTCAGAAAACTCCCTGGAGGGCCAGCTAGGAGGCGGTTCTGACTCCACAACATCAGAGAGCTCAGAGCAAATCCAAAACTACACCTGAGTCACGTCAACCCGACAGAACAGAGGAGAAGGGTCGATAGGGTTTCCAAGGCTGTAAGTCACGCTGCCACATCGCTTTCCCAAGGAGCAGCCGGTGGGTTTGAACCACTGTCCTTTGGGTTAGCAGCTGGTCCCTTAAATCACTGAGCCACCACAGCTGCACCAAGTTCTCAGGAAGAGATGTAAATTAGTTTTAGTATCAGAAGTTAGTCAACAAGCTCTGGCGGAAAGGAATTCTTACCCACAGGCCATGCCAATGTCATAAGACCCATTTCTGATTCCACCTGCAACAAAAGCATTTCATAAGCATCCTGCCCCCGAGTCCGTCCGTCCTGGCGGCAGTGGACACTCTTTCCCCACCTAGCCTGGCTCTCCTTTTCTCCCCACCTGGTCTCTAGGCGGGGCTCAGCCTCCCAGCACCACAAGACCATGAAGTGTTCAGAAAAGGCCGGAGGGCTACAACATGGGCTTCCTCCTCCGGTGGTTCGAAGTCCGCTCGGAAATCTCACTGCATGCCCAGCAGAGAATGACCCTGCCGACCCAGAGCCACCACACCAGGACCACGGTCAGGAGCCCGCCCAGCCACAACTTACCGGCTATGTTGGCCACTGCCTGCAGCCCCGAAGAACACTGCCTGTTGACGGTGCACAGAGGAACAGTCTCCGGGATGTGGCTGAAAGCAAGAGGAGACCACGGTGAGTTAGCCCCTCCCCTGCCAGGCTCTCCTGCTCCTGGCCAGTCCCCCTGCCCCGTCAAGAGACACAGAGGCCAGGCGTCCAGTCCCCGCCACGCTGCTCCTCAGCCGAGAGGAAAAGAAACCACGGGGCAGGTGACCTCTCTGGAGACACCTGCTCCCTCAGGGCCCACAGCACATTCCCTCCTGTGAGCCTCTTCAAAGGCCACGGGCAGCTTGAAAGCTAAGCTGTGTGGACCATGCTGTTGCTGGGTGCCACTGAGTTGGCTGTGACTAGGAACCGTGTTCTATGCTGTGCCATCCTCATGATTCCATCACGCGCCAGCCTCTGGTTATGGTCTCCGTGCCCGTCCAGCTTGGGCACGCCGTCTCTCTCCCTAACCCGACCTTTCCCAGCACGATGTCCTTTTGGGGGTCACGATGTTGCTATCAGGTGCTGTCAAACTGAGTACGACTTATCATGACCCTGTTAACAAGAGATCTGCACTCTGTCCTGTCCTGCACCAACTTCATCTCTGACACACTTGACCCCACTGCTGCAGTCACTATGTCAGTCCATCTCATTGAGGGACACAGGGACCCCTTCTCCTCTCCCTTTGGAGATTGAAGAATAAAAATGACACACTTCTGTTACCCCTTAAGCCTGTTGGTAGGACATGAACAGCAATGTCTCCAACTAGGAGGCCAGAAACTCTCCCATCTCCTGTGCCTTTTTTAGTATTAACTATATGATTGCAGCGAACATTCCTGTTCTCTCTAGAGAGCGTGTTCTCACCTGGATAAAGATGTCCGATTAGCAAACAGCTATGAGATACCATCTCTCCCCAGTAAGAACAGCAACATTTAACAGAACAGCAAACATCAAATGCTGGTGAGGTTGTGGAGAAACCGGAACCCTTATTCACTGTTGGCAGGAGTGTAAAATGGTGCAACCACTGTGGAAGGCGGTGTGGAGCTTTCTCAAAAAGTTGCAAATAAAGGGAGCTCTGGTGGTCTAGTGGCAATACGCTGTACCGCAATCCCAGAGGTAAACGGTTCAAATCCACCAGATGCTCTGCTGGAGAAGGAGGGGGCAACCTCCTCCTGTACCAGTCAGATCTGATTTGACGGTACACACACAAAAAATAATGAAATAAAATTTTTTTTAAAAGTTGCAAATAGAGATACCATTTGACCCAGCAATTCCACTACTGGGAATATACCCCAAAGAAACCATAACCACCACCCAAGCAGATATATGCACACCCATGTTTATCGCGGCTTTGTCCACAATAGCAAAGAGATGGAAACAACCCAAGTGCCCATCAACAAATGAATGGATAGAGAAGCTCTGGTATATTCACACAATGGAATACCATGCAGCACTGAAAAACAAGGAGCTCATGAAATATTATTCAAAATGGATGACCCTGGAGGACATTATGCTGAGTGAAATATTTCAATCACAAAATAACAAATATTGCATAGAGCTACTGTTGTAAAACAGGACTGACATCAGGGTTGAGGGAAGACAGAAAAGGAGGGGAGCAATGATGTGTATTGCATTGAAACAGATGAGGGAGAGAACTGTTTAAAAGGGACATATGAATGGGTATTCTTGTCCTTACAGAAGTCCAGAGTTAAGGCGGCTAAGTGGAGTGGACTTGGGAGGAGGGATTGCATAATAATGAGTTTTTCTTTTTATTCTCCAGGAGAAGAGTGAATTGGGGGGAGGAGGTGGGTAGGGAGAAAAGTGCAACAATGAATGACTAGGGAAAAAAATGAAAGAAATACTGTAAAAAAATTATAAATTAAAAAAAATTAGATGGAATTGATTCAAGATTAAAAAAAAAAAAAGATGTCTGATTAGCACCACGTTTTCTAACACCCACTGTCCTGGTGAGTTCTCCCAGCATCTCACACCGTCCCAGCTCTGCGAGTTATCCAAAGCTAAACCTCCCCACGTCACCTGCCCTGGCCAGGAGTACAAAGTCCAGAGCACTTGGAAAGCTGGGGCTCCAAACCTCGGGGTCAAAGCGCTCTGCTGATTTTGTTGTGCAACCAGAGCTGAGTCCCTTGATCTAATCCAGGGGTGGACAGCCACCTGGCCATGCCATCTCCTCTACACCTTCATCTAATCCCCAAGATGTTCCCTAAACATCTCCAATCTCAGGGACACTAACATACTTCCGGTACTGTCTGTACCCGAAGCCTGACCAACACACAAAATAGACCGAACTCGGGGGTTCTGAAATAAAGAGTCATGTGGCATAACAGAGCCCATCACAAGGAAACGCAGAGCTGGATACTAGGACAGAGCTTTCATTTGAAGACTGGAGGCTTCAAGAAGTCCAGCCCAAACAGTATTTGGGCAGAGCTTACACCAGGCAGGGAGGAAGAAGGACAGTCAGCAGCGACAGACAGCATCATCAGAGTGGTGAGGGCACAGGCAAGAGTAGCTGGTAGAAAGCAGTCAGGTCTAGTGAGTGGCTGGGGGATGAGGGGAAAACATCAGTCTGGCCTCTCTATGAAAATGGCACCGAAAGCGAAGAAGGAAGCCCCTGCCCCTCCCAAAACTGAAGCCAAAGCAAAGGTGTTAAAGGCCAAGAAGGCGTCCTGAAGGGCATCCACAGCCAAAAAAAAAAGAAGATCTGCACATCTCCCACCTTCCTGCGGCCTAAGACACGGAGACTCCGAAGGGAGCCCAAATACCCCGGGAGAGCACCCCCAGGAGAAACAAGCTTGACCACTATGCCATCATCAAGTTTCCCCTGACCACTGAGTCAGCCATGAAGAAGACAGAAGATAACAACACACTTGTGTTCACTGTGGATGTTAAGGCCAACAAGCACCAAATCAAACCATCTATAAAGAAACTCTATGACAATGATGTGGCCAAGGTCAACACTGTGATTAGGTCTGATGGAGAGAAAAAGGCCTATGTTCGACTTGCTCCCAACTATGATGCTTTGGATGTTGCCAACAAAATTGGGATCATCTCAACTGAGTCCAGCTGGCTAATTCTAAATACAAATTTTTCTCACAAAACAAACAACAAAAACAAAACATCAGTCTGGAGGTAGGACATGGGACGCCTTGAACTCCAGGCTAAGCTGTTTTGCTATCTAGCAGGCAGACCTAGTGTTTCTCATTTTTCCATTTTTTTGCCTGTTCCCCATGAAGCTGCAAGCAGAAACCCAAATGGCTCTTGAATCTACACAGGAAGACGATTCAGGCCCAAGTCCCACCCTGGAGATTGCTTTTAAAGGGCAGGGTTGCCAGGACCTTTCTGCACTGCACTTTCTTTCTCCCAGAGACTTTGGGCCAAGTCCTGGCTGAGAGAATGTGCCTAGAGATACATCCCAGCTTGTGCAATTAGCAAAAAATTAATTAACAAGAAGGCTCAAAGGTCCTGCCAACTGACAAAAGAGAACAGAGTTCAGTTTAAAAAGGCAAAACAAGCTGACTAGTTACACACAGGAACATGGAAAGCTACTTCTCCGGTTTGAAGGCCTTGTGTCCTGGCTCAGTGCCCAGTAACAGCCCATGTTAAGTATGGAAAAGGTTGAATCCTTGAGGCGGGGGAGTCTCAGGGCCTCTGCTTGTCCCAGGGTTGGTTTGGTGTCTAATCCGATTCTCCACCACCAATAGGCTCAGCAACATGGACCCTGGACCCACACAAGAATCAAAAGGGGCAGCCCAGAGCTAAGAACAGAAAGTGTTTACCTCAGAAACTGGGCGATCCGGGCCATGACTGCCCCTGCCCCTGGTTGAAGCACGTTTCCTGCGGACAATAAACTTTTATTCAGAGTCAGGCTGTACTGGGGCACTAAGGTCCTGCTGTGAATCCCACAGAGGAGACAAGGGATGCATCAGATCTCTCTCTGCAGGGTCCTGAACCTTCTCCGCAGGCTCACTCCAGGTTCTGGGATTTTCAGGTCTGGAACAGGGAGGCTAGCCACACAGCAGCTTGTCCTGGCCAGGAGGGTCCCAAGCTCACTTACCCGCCCTCCCTGCTTCTCCCAGTGAGTGCAGAAGTGGACAAGGTGTCTGCCTTTAAGGGTGACATGCAAAAGTTTCAGGAAAGAAAGACATAAAACTTGAATGAATCCTGTCTGGGAAAGGAGGCTGTTAAAAAAAAACACAATCCCAGCCCCCAAGAGTGACAGTGACTCTGGACTTGAGAGTGACAAGTGTTTGGTGAGACCCTAGCCATCCTGATGTATTTCAAGGCCAAAGGTGAGAAAGTGGGTTAAAGGTCAAAAGGCCCCATGCTCAGCTGCAAATCCCCTGGGCCTCAGTTTCTCCATCTGTAAAGGAGAACGACTGGACTATTGTGGTTTCAACACTTCCTTGAATCTTCCAGACATCATCTCAGGATGGGAGTGTCACAGATCTGCCAAGTGAACACTTGTCACTCGGGAACTCCGTTCATATCACACTCAACAGACTTATGTATGTCTTACAGACGACCAGAAGTGCCTGGGGTCGAGGTGAAGGCCGGTTCTAAAGTGGCAACTGAGGACAAGCTGTCCATCAGTGAAAGCACGTGGGGAGGGGCAAGGTGTTGGAAGGCCCTGGGGGAGATGAGACGATGCGCTCACCCACGCAGATGTCCCCCAGGTTGGCCGGGCTCAGCTTGACATCCTGGAGCACCGCGGTCATGACGGCCGAGAGCAGCTCGTCCGGGGTGGTGTCCTGCAGGGGCGGGCTTGGCGGTGACCCCAGGCGACAGGTGCACGGGGGGACCGGGGTCTTCCTCCCTTAACGCCCACCCCGGGAAGCAGGAGAAGGGCCCTGCTCCATTCGGAGCGGCCCCGGGGAGCGCCATAGGACACCGAGCCCAAGTCCGGATCCCAGCGCGCCCCGACACCCCCTGACCGGCCCCTGGGCCGCACCTTGAAGCCGCCGCGGCCCCCACGGGCGATGGCCGTACGCCGTCCATGCACCACCACCACGTCCGCCGGCGAAGCCTGCGAGAAGGAGCTCAGGCACGCGACGGGCTGCGGTGAGGACGCCACGTCCGAGTCGGGCCTGCCCACCAAGTGACCCAGCACCACCTGCAGCCTCCGCATCGCGCCTTCGGCCCCGGGATCTGCAACAACAACCCGCAACGCAGCCAGGACAGACTGCGACCCGCGCGCAGGCGCAACCGCCCTCCGGCCCCGGCCGCCGGGCCCCGCCCCGCACACGTCCCGTCCCGCACACGTCCCGCCCATCTCCCGCCGTAAGCCAATCAGGAGACGGCCCCACCTCCACGCCCGCTATCGAAAGCGAGGCTCCCAGCTCTTTGCACGCCAAAACCCCGCCTACGGTAACCTACCACTGCCAATCAGGAGATGGGCCCTCGGAAGCTCCGCCCACATATACAATGGAGAAACTTCATGACTAGAAGCTCTGCCTATTGACAGTACCCTAGAAGTTTTCTGGCTGAAATCTTAAAACAAGGCCAGCCAGTGCACTTACCCAGAAGTCCTGCCTACTGCCTGTCACTGCCAGATAGAAGGCGGGACAGCTAAGGCTCGACAGAAGAAGTAATCCCTTTGTGTTGGAGAAGAGTACGGAATATGTCAAAAAAACAGGTATGTCTTGGAAAAAATGCAACCAGGGTACACTTTGGAGGCAAGGATAGTGAAACTTGGCCCTAGCACTAATCCATTGTGTGCCTGGCTCTCCAGTGGATTTTCAGTGACATTAAATCACACATATGAGATTGCCCATCCTTCTCCCTCAGAACTGCTGGTGGATTTGAACTGGGTCTGTTTGGGTTTGCCAATGAGCTTGTTACCACTAGGCCACCAGAGCTCCATGGAGGGATGATAGGAGTCAGAATTTACTTGACGGTAGTGGATTGGTTTGGAGTTGTCAAACCAAGGATGTAAAAAGAAAAGTCCAGGAAGCATCTTGACTCCAATGGCTGTCAGATTGACACAATGAATGTAATATAACAAAGGGCTCAAGTATATCAGAGAGGATGAGGATGGCGCAGGACAGGGCAGGATACAGATTTGCTGTTCATGGTGTCCCTGCATGTCCTAGCCAACTCTGGAACCTAATACCACAACCTCTTCTTTCCCTGTCTGCTCCACAATCGACTGAGTTCCAGTGAAGGAATTCTGGGATGAACTAAAATGATGAGCTTGCATGCTCTTGCATGCTAAGTGTTTTGAGAAAATGAGGGAATTTGGGATTCCTGGTCATCTAGAGAAGTGGATTGTACGAATGTGTAGGGTGAGACAGGCCCCCTAATTGGAGGGAGGAGGGAACATCACATACATAATCTTTTTACCAAATTTAGGTTCATGTGGGATGGCTAGACTGATTGCCTCGGGGACAGACCCTGTAACATACCTGACAGTTCAATAATATGTTTAATAAATATATTTATTTAAATAAAATATAAAAATAAATATATTTTAAGTGAATGAATCAGGAATCTCCAGTTTGAGACTGTGTTTCTCCTAATCCTAAAGGAAAAGGCAGGGTGCCTAATTCACCATCAGTAGGGCCAGTACTGGGGTCATGCCAGATTCCAAAGGCTACTGTGCTCAGTGACCCTGAACCACACCAAGCAGGGCTGCAACATTCTCTTTGAGAAGAGGAATTGCCTGGAGCAGATCCCCAATCAGTGCCAGCTTTCCTCTCAGGCCGGTCTCCACCAAGAGCTTCTGAGTTCACAACTGTTCTTTCCATACTCCACCGTCAGGATTATGAATAGTGCCGAGTCGAACCCCCAGCCACCCATGAACGTCTCAGAGTGTGGCTGCTGTTCCCTAGGAGAGCAGAGCCATTGTCCTTCCCTAAATTGTTCTCAGATTCCTCAGGGGCAGGTTCCCTGTTCCAACCCCCCTCCCACTTCTTCCTCCATTCAGTCATTCTGCCCTGCAGCCCTGATCGCCTCTCCTTGAAGCAGCACCCTCCACCGCCTACTCCTCCCCCCCACCAGCCCCGATGGCCTCTCCTTCTTCCCCCAGCTCCATCACCTCTCCCTGAAGCCAGCGCCCCCACCCCCATCCTTCCCCCA